AAAGTGCAACGGAAGGACGAATATTTGAAAGAAAGGCAAAAAATACTGAAAAGAGTAGAAAGCACCAACCTAATATTTGCCTTATCAAAAGGGTGAGTCACCCAAATGGTTGAATCTCACAAAAATGGAAAGTTTTTAATGTCCAAGTGTCAAAGTAAATTGGTGAAAAGTTGCATCACGATCCGCCAAATTACTAAAGCGGAAACTAAATGCATCACCGAAAGTGACAGTCTGAAGAGTAAAATTGAAGGCTATCTTAGGAGAGCAAGGTAATATTTGACGATTCACCGATCATGAAGGGTTTATTCCATCCGCCCATTCGAGTTCAAACACCTGAAGCCAGTAAAAGGCGAGCTGAATACTACAGGCAGTGATCCACCAAGTGAGTTCAGTGTTATCGACTTATGTTACCCAATGGAATGCAAAATAATCTTTTATGAAAGTATAAATATTTGGGAAGAGATAGAAAATAGATTTATCTTACCTTTTATCAGTTTTTACTTTTAGAGAGAGAAACTACAGAGTATTGGTTCTTATTTGTGGGGTTTACAATTTAGCTCTTGTAACCAACAATTGGAAGTTGAATCCGAAGCGGGTGTTGATTATAATTGCTTAATTTCAATGTATCAATAGATGCTATCATGATAGGTACCATCTCTGTACTTTTTGTGATAAGTGACTAAAACCCCAATTTCTAGGGATTTGATTATGGGGTTGGGTGTTGATTTAATATAGTGGGTATGTTTTATGGTTTGTTTTGTTGTTGTTCATACATGAATTTGGGCTAATTAGAATGGGGTTAACTTATAGATTAAGGTTGCAAACTTAATTCTTCCTTTCGATCTCCGATCGATGCTGGAAAGGGATTGATTGGATGGGTAATTTGTCTGATACTATCAATTTAGGTTTTGATGTCTGTAATTTTCTTGAAAATAGAGGTTATGGGTATGATCTAATTGCCCTACTTAAGCATCGAAAGAGAGAGTAAAGTAAGGTATTGGGTTGTTTAGTATAGTATAAAGATGAGACCGAAAGGAAATTCTATGCCATGATGGTATGAGATGGAAAGAAGATTAGCATCATTGAAGATGACCTAGCCTATTTATTAATGTTTATCAGTATAGAGCAGCAGAATTACCATTATCTGATATTGATTTCCAATCCCTGCACCCATAGATTGCTTGTTAACTATTGAATTCTCTGAAATCTCAATTTAATTGTGAAAATTGATAAACAAATATTTTTGTTAAATTAGTAGAATCATCCACCCACTTTATTTTACTATTACAAATGTATGAGTTTACAATCCAAGTTTCTTGATAGAATATCGGACGATATACCATTTTTCATGAGATTCGGCCGTGACTCTTCATTGCGTATGTTTATTGACTACGACTACTGTCCCTTTTAATTTATTTTAAAGAGGACATTTGAGCGCTATCAAAAATGGCACCACTGCCAGGGAGTTGTGGTTGAGAATTCTAATTGATAAATTAGATTTTTAATTTGGTTTATTTCTAGTAAAGTTGTTGTTTTAAGTTGTTGTTGGCTAATTTGCAAGTTGACAAAATGAGTGACCGTGGGAATGATAATGATAGTCACTATGGTCAAAATGACAATATGGAGACTTGAATGACATGCTCATTGATGTCATTCAAACCACGGGAGCAATCTAGATACCTCCTACAACGGGGAGGACTATGTTACACCTCACCGGGACTGTAATCCAATTGCTCCAGATGAAAGGAATTTTTTGGGTCTAGCTCATGAGGATGCCCATGAAAAATTCAGGAATTTCAAGAAGGTGTGTCGGCCCTTTGTGTTCAAGAATATCTCCCAACAATCAGTAAGGTTGAGCTTGTTCCCATTCTATTAGACGGGAGAGGCCACAAGATGGTTGGCAAAATTTTCAAATGATTCAATCACTTCGTGCGAAGATATAACTGATGTCTTTTTGTAGAGATTCTTTTCACCCTCAAAGATTGTTAAACTTCGTCTTCAAATCCAAAATTTCAAGCATATTGGAGGTGAGCCTTTGCATGAAACATGGTTGAGGTTCAGGAAGTTACTGTTGCAATTTCTAACGCATGGTATCCCGGACAATTTGTTGTTGCAATACTTCTATTGTAGCCTTGATTCGATCAACAAAGGTGTGGCTGATTGGTTACTCCAAGGTGGACTAATGAGACAACCGTATGATGTGGTTGCATTGTTATTAAATGATATGACTAATGTCAACCGAGCTTGGCACACTAGGGAGGACCAAGTGCCCCTTCTACAAGTGGGTTTCAGTAAAGAACAAGTTGAGAAGGACCATGAAAGTGATGAAAAGATGGCAAACATGATAACCTAAATCGATTTATTGTCCAAACATATCATGGCAGGTTGAACCAAGTCGCTAAATGCAGTTGGAACCAATAGTGGGCAGTGCCCAGATGATGCCCAATTCGTGGCATAATATAATGAGGAAGTTTAATACTTTGGAAATCAAGTAGGGGGAGAAGGGGGGGGGGAGTAGGGGGAGGGGGGGGGGGGGGGTTCTCAAAAAAATTATTAACGTCAACATGGGAACCAAGGTTGGAACAAGGATAGAGATGGTGGTTGGAAAGACTGGCAGGGTGTAAATTGGAGAGATAGACAAATAGATACGTACCTCCCCATAATCGTGCATGCCTAAAAGAACCAGCTAGGGTAGAAGAAAGTCGGACTGAAGACAAGTTTGTAAGGATCTACAAAAAGGTTAAAGGGTCTGATATGGTGTTGAAGGATTTGAAGAATGATTGTTGACATCCTTTGAGAAGGTGCAACATCACGGTGACTAACCAGAAAACAATTATCAATTTTAAATTGAATAAAAGAATTTAAAAGGAAATTCTGGTAAAAAGGAGTCACCACCTAATTTTAGGAAAAACTAGGAAATCAATTAATTAATTAACTTAAAAGAATGTCAACGAAACTAATAGATTCTAAGTAAGGGGTTCAACTTATCTCGAAGGGAAGGTATTAGGCTTCCTTCGAAATCCACAACTATGGGTCCCGAATGAATTCATTTTTTTCAAATTGAGGCCTAAGATTTTCTTAGCGTCAATAATATATACATATTAATAAATAAAGAATATAATTCGAACTTCACTCGAATAGCTTCAATGAGAAGTAACTTCGGGTACTTGTAAAGCCACTTAGTAAAAGTGTTAATAATAAATAAATATGAATAAAAATAAATGAATCAATAATAATTTAAAAATAAAAATCTGTCTTATTAACATCGGAGGCTTGAGAAAGCGAAGGTAACTTTTTCATTGGGCAATTTTAACATACAATGAATATGAACTTAAACTAAATTTCCATCTTTTCAAATGGGAAGACCTAAAAAACCAACAAAAAGATTTTTTTCACTGACCAATTGAGCTTAGCATCTATTCAACAACAATTAAAAATAACTATAAATGATAAAATTTATCTAACAATATAATAAGAATAACGAACGAAAAATAATAGAATGGACGCTAAAAACTAACCAAAACAAATACCATTTCAATATAATGACAACAACACTCAACAAAGATATTAAACGTTAATAAATTATTAAATTAATATAATAACCAGAAGAAAACTAGATAAACAATATTGACTAATAATAAAAAATTAAGTAATCTTAATAAAGTAAAGAAAATAAACTAATAGTAAAACAAATAATAACAACTAAGAACCACTGGCAAAGACTATTGAAGAACAAAATCAACGAATAATAAAAAAAAATAACAAGAATTGATCAACAATAAAAATGAGAAAAAATAATAAATTAAACTAATCATAAAATCAGCCAAAACATAAATAAATAGTAGCAAAAATAGAACAACAATCTATAAACAAAACACAAATATCCATAGTAATGAAGAAAAATTAAACATCTAAATAATGATAACATCAACAGAGGCCAACACAACCATAATAACAAAAAAAAGATTGCAACGTTGAAAGCCAAAAAAAAATAAGAACAATCCAGTAATGTAGAAATAATAACACTTAGGGGTCGTTTGGTAGAGTGTATTAGGAAAAATAATACATGTATTAGGTGTGTGTATTAGTAATACCTTGTTTGGTACACCTTTTTATGTCATGTATAACTAATGCAAGCATTAGTTATACACTATATTGTGTATTAAGTTGTGTATTACTAATACCAAGAAATTCTAGGTATTAGTAATACATAGCACTTTAACACTTGCATTATATTATATAATTACAAAAGTACCCTCAAAGCCTTTTAAAAAAACATTTTCCATAGTACTTGCTTCAGAAACCTTTCATCTCTCTGTACTTTGTCAATGGAAATTCAAGAGTAGGTTTCTTCTTCCTTTTGCTCAATCGAACATTGTTTGCTCATCTTTACAAGGTTAGTACTCTTATCTTTCATTAAAATCTATATTTTTCATTATTATTTGATTTTTCTACCTCTATTTCACAATTTGGGTATAATTCTTTCTCTATCAAAATCAACGATTTAGAGTTTGCCAACCATTTTGGAATGCAATCAAAGTGTTTTGTTAATTTTAAGTTAGCAAATAGTTGTGAAAAAGTCAGTCGTCCAAAGTTAATAGATCTGACGATGATATTTAGGTTTAGCTTGTTTTTTAATATGCTTTGAGTTCATCTATTTCACTCTTTATATGGTCGAAAATTATAAATTTATGCACATAGCTACTTATTTAAAAGTTTTATATGTGTTCATTCTTATTTTTATGGCAAATATAGGTGTTATTATGGATCTTCAACCATTATCAGCTATTGAATATATTATTCTTATGGAGATATTGTTTCAGCAAGTTCTTGTTCTCCTTATTTGTCTTTTCATGGCTAGTTATGGTCATTCTCTAAGAAGACGATGTCAAAACAGACGTGAAGTTAGGTATCGTATGAGTGTTCGAGTTCCGAAAATCATTTCTCACTTACACTATATCATAAATGATAATGGTAGTGTATGTATCGATAAGTTAAGAATGGATAGAAATGCCTTCCACACTTTAGTTCTCTTAACTAAGGATATTGGAGGTCTGACCGATAGTAAAAGTATGTCAAGCAGCGAAAAATTAGCAATGTTTTTAAATATCTTGGCTCATCATGAGAAAATAGATCCATCAAGGTTGATTATATTAGATCGGGATGGAGCGTAAGTCAAGCTTTCAATGAATGCTTGAGTGCTATTCTCAAACTAGCTCCATTGCTACTTGTTAATCCTAAACTGGTACTTGAGGATGGGATTGAAGATTGATGGAAATGGTTTGAAGTAGGTGAAATTGTCGTTTAGCATCTTTTAACTAATATACAAAATATGTTGTTTTAACAGTTTATGAAATATATTATATATTTTGAGATAACACTATAATTTATCTTAAAGGGTTGTTTAGGTGCACTAGATGGTACTTCATTCCCATTAGAGTTCCAATCCAACACAAACCAAGATATAGAACAAGAAAAGGAGAGATAGCAACTAATGTTTTGGGAGTTTGTGATAGAAATCTCAATTTTACTTATGTGTTACCTGGATGGGAAGGTTCAGCTGCCAATGGTCGTGTATTACGAGATGCTATAGTACGAAGGAATGGTTTGAAAATTCATGAGAGTAGGCCTTTTATATGCTTTCAAGTTACATTATAGAAAGAATAGTACTAGTAACTAAATTATATGTTTATATTATAGGTAACTATTATTTGTGTGATGGAGGATATACGAATGGAAAAGGATTTCTTTCACCTTATCGAGGTTATAGATATTGGTTAAAGGATTGGCGAGGCGATAATCCATCGCCTCGATGTAAAGAAGAGCTTTTCAACATGAGGCATGCTAGAGCTCGTAATGTAATTGAAAGGGCATTTGGTTTGTTGAAAGGACGTTGGGGAATTCTTAGAAGTTCTTCATGGTACTCGGTTAAGGTTCATAACAGGATCATTAGTGCTTGCTGCTTGATTCATAATTTCATTCGTAGAGAGATGGAAGTGGATCCCTTAGACATTGATATAGAAGAACAAATGGAGTATCAACACGAGAATATTGATGTTGTTGAATCGTCGGAGGAGTGGACCACTTGGAGGGATGAGCTGGCTCAATCAATGTGGAATGCAAGATTTAACAATTGACATATTGCTACTTGTTAGCTATAGAACCTTTTTGGACTTCATTTGCTCTTTAGAACTGGCCTAGTATAAATTGTTTAACT